GTAGTATATATATATATATATATATATATATATATATATATATATATACACATGAAGTATACATCAGACAGTTGTAAGGAATCTCAATACTGCATAGAAATGATTTAGAAAAAACTACAACAGAATTTTATGGAAAACAACAAAATAGATACAAACAGAATGATCCTGAGCAGATAAGAATACTGAGCAAGTTCAAAGATGCCAAAGGCTACTAATACATTCAAACACAGATATACAAAGACAAATTTGGAAACAGGAAAGTTCTTAGGACTAAGAAGTCTGATGTATAGTTTATTAAACGATAATAAGGAGAATCAGGCAAATTCTAGTTGCATTTTTTTTTGTTTCACAAACATATTGATCATGCTTATAAAAAATGAAGCCACATAATGCAGGAAACTAGATTTAGCAGCAGGATTTGCTATTTTTCTTATTATGGTCAACAAAGAGGGATGACTTTTAAAAAATTCCTAACCTTTGCAAATTTGTGAAAGTCACGAAGCTTCATTGTCAATCGAAGACTATGAGAATGTTCTTCACTTCCTTTGAAGTACCTCCCATTCCAGTTTTCACGAGAAACGGGAGAAACCGATTCCGGACTTCCCCGTGATCCTGCGGATGAAGATTTTGTAGTAGCTTTCTGCAATGTGGAATCAGTTGATTCCACATTTACTTCATTTGCAATGTGTTGCTTGCATGCAGGTGAGGGAGTACTGTAACCAAATCCAGCTGAGTGAGATGGTGAATCCAAAGTGCCCATATCATCTCTGTCAGACTCTCCAGAACTTTTACTAATTATTGACAGAAACACTCGTAGAAGGCCATCCAATTTCTGGTAGAGGGTAAGGAGAAATAAATGAAAACTTTGAAGGTCCCTAAGAGCTGCACGAAATCCTCCTCGAAACTCATGAACAACAGCTGCCATGTCGGTATCATCAAGGGAAGAACATGAATCACTGACTGAATTAGCCTCACCAGGTCCAGGATGTCCCAGTCTACCTCCAGATATCTCATATAACAGGTTGGAAGAGTAGTCTACATTGTTAAGTAAGAGTTCGATGAGTTTTGGATATCTTTCATGATCTTTTGCACGTTTTCCTGCAGGTGGTCGTCGAGGAACCCCAGAGTCAATGGCCACAACATGAAAATCACCATTGCTGTCATTATTCACTATTTCTTTCTTCACCAATTTGTTGCTGAACTCATAAAAAACATCTGAGCTCTGACATGAAGGTTCAGAGGTAGGGGGAACCATTCTTCTCTCTTTCTGTAGAAACCTTGTTACCTGTGGTGCATAACTTCTAGCAGCAGAACTCCCTTCATGCAGTGCATCCATATTCCCAGATGTCACCTTATCGGCAATTAAGAGATTTGCATAATTGCCGCGCCACCCTAGTTGACGGCAAGGGAGTCTATCCTCATTTCTAAGTATAAGGTCTAACATCAGAACCCTGCCAAGTGCTGCTGCAGCTCTCATAGCGGCTTCCCGATTTTGAAATGCATTTGAACTCTCAAGAAGAGGGGAGCCATGCACATAACTAGAATACAAAACAAAAAGATATGAGAAAATCTAACAAAATATAAATAATTAATCAAAGATGCAGAAGGTGTTCATACTTCATCAGGAAGAGGCATCGACTCAATTCAAGAGCTTCTAACAACTCTGAACAAGTTATTTCACCAACTTCATCTCCAGCTGAAACTGCTGCATCTCGTGCTTTTTCTGTAGCATACTTAATCTGATGCCATTCAGGGTTAGAATTATGTACCACTCTTGCCTGCATTCAGTTACAAGAATGCCACATATAATTATTTGTTATGAAAAGAAAGGCTTTTAATGATAAAGGTAAAGGTATACACCTGAGGTGTATGCACTCCAAGCCATTTCCCAAATTCATAACCCAAGCGCTCTGACTGTGTGGCCATCCTGGAGGATGCAATCTTTATAACTGCTGCTGCTTCATGTGTAGATAGATCAGCACTAGAGCTGAACAAAGCAAAGAAAACAACTCCTCCAGAATTGACAGTCACCTGTAACAGATCATAAGTGTTACAAGACGAGACATGCCTGAAACACTGAAATAGCTCGTAACCTGGTGCCACTATATAAGAATAATTAGCAGACATTCTACTGAGGTCCATTGCTGTGAAAGAGATCTCAAGCGTTAAGCTGGATTCATCTGCCTTGTGTCTCATGACTGGATTATGACATAGAACAAAATATATATGATCACATCATCAATTCCTATTTTACAGTTTGGGAGACTGCTAACTGAAGTTTGAGCATTTGGTAGTGAATTTGAATCTTTTCTAAACCATCACTAGCTAAGCAATTGAACATACAAAGGAAACAAAAGGTAAAGATGTCCTGTAAATTTGTACAAAAGAAACAAAATTTACTTAACTTGCAACCAACAAATAACTGACAAAACTGAGCACAAATAAGCAGGTAGCATTCAAAATCAAATTGCATCTCCAGCTGACAGTAGCAAATGCTGAAGATGCACTGTGTTGGTGCTGAGGCTAAAGACATGGAATGACAAGTGTGATTTGATTGTTAATTCTCTGGGGCCTTAGAAAATTCTGTCTAGCAAAATGGAAACCCACCAGCCTACTAAAAATTATGCTTGTGTTTAAATCTGACCATCCTAGCTAAAGTTCTCTCCAGTTCAAGGTAAACAAAGTCCATCCAAGGAATAAGCCAACAAAAACTCAAAAGCCTTATTTCTGGAAAAATCACAATAAAAGAGAAAAGAAAAGATGGTAAAACTTGATTCTCATGACAAAATAGACCGCTGATAGCCTCATGCATAAGGATGCAGCTTGATCAATGTACCTCCATAGCCTTGTTCATTTCATCCTCAGATTGCTCACTGCTGCTTGTATGCTCTGTATGATGCAGAGATGACAAAGCATCCCAGGAGAAGTTACTGGTTTCAATGTCCAAAACAGAAGCATTTCCTAGTCTTCCCCACAAACTCATTTCTGGAGGTTGGCCACATCTTTGTTTATTAAGTAAATCACAACTTAATTCTTGCATATCTGGTATTTCAATACTGTCAAAAGAAAAGCAAACACAACAAAAATATTTTAGTATTTCTAGTGTGACAAGATTAATGACATTTGGAAAAATGTGAGCATTTGTCAGCCATCATTTTAAGTATATACTTAAACTGTTAGGCTCAAACGAACCAAGCCCTATGATAGATCCAGTTTTCATAATCAATAGAATGATCTAACCGACCAGTATGTGCCATCCATAAACATATCCTCAAAATTATTTATATCAGTTAAAGCCAAAAGAACACATATTTTAGAATTTTTACAGAAAATGAACATTAAAGGCAGTATACAATTCCATCAGGTGGACAGTATACTCTTATTGATATAACTTCATTACAATAGAATAGTCATGCTAAAAGGCTTATTTTAAACTATTTTATTTTGAGCAAGCTTTGAGAAATCATCTTGCTAAGAGGCTCATCTTAAACTAGTTTATTTTGGCAAGCCCGATAAGGTCATTTCATGAAATACAATATTCTTTTCCATAGAACTAATACAAAAAAGGAAATCTTACGAAACAACTACCTAAAGGTTCTTCCACATCTCAGAATTCTGAAAGAATAAGAAAAAGGTTCCACCAAGTACATCTTCAAGTCATCATTTAGTTTCTTTAAAAAGATCACACATCAGACAGTAAAAGCTGGAACAAACAAGTAAAATGTTATTGTTTTCACATGAACCACAACATAACAGGTTGTTGAATCAAGATCATAGGTAACAGAGGTGCTCGCATGAATGAAGCATTCATTTAGAAGAGCTTTTAAAGAAAGAACAAACTAAAATTCTAGTTCCCAGAGTGTTTATACAATGGAAATCCTCAATGATCATAAGGCCATGTCAATATCAAGACACCCCTCGATGTCCTACATCAACACCTTGTTCATATCTCCCATGTTCTGTTACTGCATAGGTTTGGAGGTGCAAGTCTTAGTCAGACTAGCACTAAATTGCAGAAGTCTAATCCAATCTTTGTCCACTTAGGGAATACTAACACAATCCAAGCTCAGTCAACAAAACTTGCACCAAGAGATTGATGACTCAAAGGAGGTATTCTATACTTATGGGACTCCTAATTGAGGTCTACGAAAACTGGCCAACCAGGCTTCGTCACCAGCCTTGGGCAACCAGCAACTAAGAATTATAAGAGAAACCAAAATGGCATGAAGTTAGTCATCTCTCATGAGTTATATCTCTCTAAGATGGCTCATTGGGATATAGGCCTGGTGGATTGCTATACCCTATGTAATACCATTTGTACCAGAGTTAATCCTTTTCCTGCAAGTGAACTAATGTCAGGGCTACCTTTCTCCTAATGCAATAGAAAAACTGTTCCATTTTGAAAATCCAAGTTGCAAGATCCTCAACATGAAACTTTACAAAGTAGATTCAAATTTGATAATGAGTGATATAATTAGCATAGTTATCAGAACCAAACTGGAAACCAACCCAGTCAAGCCTTGGGTCACTGAGTCACTAGTCGAATTGGTTGGTCAATTGGTCGAACTACATGTTTAATTAAAAAATATCTTAAAATATATAAATTTTTTAAAATTATATACAGTAAAATATAAAATATCAAAACTAATTTAAAAAATATTGTATAGAAAATGATAAGAATGATAATATCAACCAACATTATAAACAGAAACATTAGTGGTAATTAACACTAAACAGGATCAGTTTTAACCTGTTTCTCACAACAAACTTAATTTTTGACATAAATGCACTCTTAAATAAAAAAAAATTAAGTCAAGGATAATTAAGTGATCCTTAATTATATTACAAAACCAAATCAGTTTTATGTGACTGATTTATAAGGGTTATCCAAACATTGGCCAGGTCAATCAGTTCATTCTAATTTCTCAACACATCCAATCAAATAATTGAATTGGACCATTTAATGGTTTGGTTCTCAGTTTTTCCGGTCTGACCACCCAGTTCGACCAGGTTCTGATTAGTGATAACTATGATAATTAGTCCTGACTCAGTTCTAGGTATACCTAACTTAGAATGGAACCGAATGAGGCTCTGATTCCAATTTCAAACAGAAACCACCTATTTCATTTTTTTATTTCTGAAAATACCCCTCTACTTAGTCATTTATTAAGCTATTAGAAGGGGCAGATTCATCATTTGGAGGGACATTTGATCGTTTAGTTTTTTGAATTTTTTTGGGTGGTTTGGGACAAAATCGGATGCACGGTTTTGGTTCTAGTTCCAAATTCTAGGAACCAAAATCGAACCACCAGAACCTAGTTCTTATTCAGTTCGAAACTATCAAACCATTGACCCATTTCGGTTCAGATCAAGATTCTTGATCGGTTCGGTTCCTTTTTGGTTTTGGTTTTGGTTTGAACCGAACCGTGGTGGTTGGGTCTAGATATAATGTAGTTCTACTTGTTTCTACAGTATGATAAAAGAATGATATCAACGAATCCATTACGAGTTTCATAAGTGTTCTCACCCTGTTGAGAATTTATAAGAGCCACTGGTTACCTTCCTTAACCTCCACAAGTAATATTTCATAACTGCTATGTCGATCCTTGAAGGTCAAGAGGTTCAAGTTGCATGTCAAAGTTGAATTCTATATTCTAGTCATCGGGTTAAATATCATGTATGCTATCTATACTATTGACAGCCACTCTCTAAGCCTGCCAAACAAGTCAAAGGACCAAGAACACCATGTTGTTGTAAATATTGCATCCAAGCTATAGTTGGAGACTTAGAGTAATGAGGTGTTATCAAAACCCAAGTTTATCATGTACATGCCACCACATGATAAGATACCACTCTGACTCTGATATAACCAGACATATGGTGGGAGCCAACCTCCTCTTCAAATTCTACCGCCGATGTCAATACAACAATAGTCTTGCATTGTCTGAATATGTAAGATTAACTAACAATGGCCTGAAAAATACCTTCATTCATGCTTTTATCTTTTGGATTCGTGAAGATATTGGCAGACAATATGATTTTAGATTAAATTATTAATACAGGCATTAACCTGATCTTATCCAATTTGTATATTTATAATTTGAGTGGTGACCTCCCCAAATTAATTATTGAAATAAGTCATCATCCACATTGAATTCTTGTGGTCATCATTGTTGGAGGATTGTTAGAGGAATGAGCCAACATTATGGCATGTGTAGATCACTTCAACCTTTGGTTTAAGACCAAACTGATGGGATTTATCACCGGATATCAAACATCACCTCACTTTGAGGGAAGATGATAATCTCTATAAGATAAATAGGGAGAGAAGAAGACTGTGAGAAAGATCAGAGAGAAAATAAAGAATGAAGAAAATTTAAGAAGTATATAGCCGAATAAAAGTTCAAATATATCCAAGGTGCTACAACCATATATACAAAGAGTCAAAGACTACTTGGATTCTGTAGTTTTTAAACTAGCTAGGACATAAACAAGAGTTTGGATTGAAATATACTTGATAGAAGTCAATGTTGCACTCTCCTTAGTCAAAACCCTATTGGGTGATTAAGTTGGGTAGCTCTCATGTTGGAGGTGGCATCCTTCTCTAAGCTGGAGCCCCCATGTAGGGTATCTATCTCGAATATGTTGACTATTATATAATCAAAAGGATTCAAAGCACCATTTTGGATTTTCCTTTGAGTTCTTAACCCTCTATGTTGATCGGAGGTCTTAGCATCTTTGGTTTGAACTGGGACTGATCTAATATACGAAATCAAGCTCAAATAATTATCCTTATTGATCAAGCAAGCTACCCTCACTCTCATTCCAAGTAGGAGGTAGCCTAGTTGGCTAGTCAAATTTTGATTAAACACAGATGCAATAGACATTTACAAACACATCCAAGCAGGATGAAACGGCAGATATGGCAAATATCTGCCAAAACAACCCTCTCCTCTAGTTACTCTGACCAAGTAAAAGGTCCTTAGAGCATCCAACCAATTATATGGGTTCAGTTGGCCACTTAGCTTACCCAGCCAAGCCTTCCCCTTTGTTCTTAGCTTAGCTACCCAAGTCTTCAGTTTTGTTCTTAGCTTAGCCGGCCAAGGCTCCCCCTTTGTCAAGCCTACACACTAATGTAAGACCCTTTCTTGATGGGTACAATGATCCAATGGCTGCAAACAAATATATCATGACATTTAATAGATTACAAAAAAATTATTGATAATCCAAAATAAGCGATTACAAAATAATAAAATGGAGAAGACAGGCTTGTTAATTCAAAGCCACCTTATTCAGAAAAATACAAAAGATCCTGTTCTAATTCTGAGTATCAATAATATTCTCACAAGATTCTTTAAAGATAACTTTTAAACATATGGCTAAATATAAAAAATAGACATCAGTCAGGTTTGTTGTTTCCAAACAAAGCCAATGTAAATCCATTTTGTAAGAATAGCATACTTCAGACTTCAGAAAAAAGAACTAATAGTGAAACCAAAAAGTTTGAAGCTTCTTTGTGTTTAGTTGCAAAGAAAACATGGATGAGAAGGGGAACAAAAAATGCACAATCAGAAACCATAAGTACATGAGTAGCATGATTCTCTATCATATTTTCACCAACTTAAATAGGTGAAATGGTATGAAAATTTACTTTATGTGCATGCTTTTCTTTTACTTAAACAAGATATTTTCCCTCCACAAAAAATTAAACAGGATGTTTTGCAATCTCTTACACGGTGGCGGACAAAATCTACATTACCAAATGAATGCTATCTAGAATATTGAAGTTATATAAGTAAATATCTTTAAAACGAGATACATCTCATCAAATATTGAACCAAGAAAAATCTTAATCACCATCATCGTACTATAAGCGGTACCTTCGCTGACGATTAGTAATCGGGCACGCATCAAACATTGTTTCACTCTTGGGATGCCGGTGCGGGAAGCCTGACGGCGGGAATCGCCCGCTTCGCTTACGGACCAGCGCTACCCATTTCTCAACTGATCCAGTTAAATCTCCCCACAGCAAAGAAATCACCTGTACAGATCCGACCAGAACAAACAAACAAAAAGAAAAAAAGAAAACCAAAAGTATCAAGAACGAGAACGATCTTGCCAACTGAAACAATCATGTAGTAACCACGCACGCTTACACGAGAAGAGAGTATGCGCTCCCTCTCTCCGTCGATTTCCTGCAAGAAATATGAGATTTTTCATCACGATAAAGCACAAAAATCCGATTTTGGAACAAGATTTCTTGATTCAGACCAAGGTAGAACAGTCGGACGAAATAATTACCGGAAAGAAAAGTCCCTTTGGGGTGATGATGGGAGGGAAGAGCTTCTCTTCCTTTTGCTCCTCTTCTGCCATGACAAGGGGGAGTGGCGTCTGGGATCTTGATGGTGATTTACTTCGCCTTTTCTCCCGTTTCTTTTTTAAATCTCTCCCCTTCGGATTCAAAAGCAGGGGGCCAACGAAGGCAACGGCAGGGAGAAGACCCCCACCTTTTCCCGGGGGAAAGTGGTACGATTCCCTTATCAAAACCGGGGATGGCGGAGAGAGTAGACTTTACAGTACTGTGTACGCAGCAAACTACTCGAGAACTCCCGGAAACCTAAAGATAAAGAAACGCTCTCAAAATGTAGCCGATTTCGAATGGCAAATGTGCTACCAAACCCTCGTCCGATGAACTCCGACGTCAATGCCACAGAGTGGGGCAAACGAGGGAGTTTATTAGTTCGTAGTTGTCGTACCTTCCGCTTTATGCGGACTTTTATATTAACTGTATATGGTGGAAGTCCCTTTCTAGATTTTATTATTTTTGTGAGATTAAATCTATAGGCTATATTTATTGCGTGGTTAAATTGAATCGAAAAATCGAATCGAACCGGAAACTAAATCGGTCCCACATTGATTTAAGAGCGAGGGAACAAATGACTCATAAGTCAATTGTGTTTTTTTTATCCTCAAAAATATTTTTTGGAGCTCAATGACTTTGAAAAGATAAAACCGTTTTCGAGACTCCTCTTTTATTTAGTTAATCAAATTAAATCAAATCAATTTTAATTAAAAATATTAATATAATCGAGTTCGTTGCTCTTAACTACTTAATCGGTTGAAACCAATTAATCATCTAAAGGTTTCAAAAATCTTAAAATATATATTAATTTAATTTTATATCATAATTTCATAAAATAATATAGATTTAATTTCATAAATTTTGTCAGTCCAACCGGAGCAATAATCTGGTTCGATTTAGTTGAGTCGAATCAATTTATTTTAAAAAAATATTTTTAAATTACTTAAAATTACAGCAAAACCAAATCAAGTAATTTAATATATATATATATATATATATATATATATATTAAATTAATTAAAAATTATAACTAGATTAATTAGTCTTGAATCGATTCGATTAAGTAGGTTTAAACTAATCATGTTTGATTTGTTTAAACACGCCTAATTGCATCGATTTTTTTTATATCAAGATTATTTTAGGATATAAAAATTTAAAACATTTGGATATCATCATAACGTAATATGACATAAGAGATTAAGAAATTACAAGGCATTGATATAATTAGTCTTAGATCAACTACGGACAAAATCCATATGAGTCGTAACTCAATCCATCTTCTTAAATTATCGGTTTAGACGTTAATAATCAATTATAACACCCTAATTAGTCTAACATTAGGATTGATCATATAACTTTAGGCTCATCAAATTAATTGGTTGGGACTTCGAATATGAAATTAGCCATTGTTACTTTGCAAATCCAAGTATACATCTCAGGAAACTTGCATCCGATCCTCTCCTAAACAAAATAATCCCAAAAAATAATTTTGCAATTAGCATTAAAAAAACATATTATCCATACAATTCTCGGTTATGCCATAACCAATGAGCAATAAAAACTAAATTTTGAAGACATAAAGAGACTCTATGACACCTTCTAACTAAGCTTTGATGAGTCAAATCATATGAATCATCTCTTGGGTAAATATGGGAAGAAAGATTCCAAAGCATAAAAAAAAAGGCCTCATTATAATTTCAATCGTACATTAAGTCACGATTTATGAAAATGAGAGATCAAATCAAGTTGCCTTCCACAAAGTAGGGAATATAAATAAGCCAATTGTCCTTATCCTACCAAAATTATATTGAAATGTCATTCATTCCCTGTGAATTTTTTAAACCTCTTTGTTGCGTTGGCTTCCACTCAATAATTGGCGTATTATGAGTACTATTTAATTATCACATGAAAATATTGTAGGTGTGATGAAATGACAAACATATTAAACTAGTTGGGTCTGATACTATGTGATTATCACATGAAAACATATAATTATCACAGCCTGATGAGATGAGATGACTATCATATTGATTTTATTGGACTTTTTATAGTATCCTTCAAATTAAAAGGATATTGGGAATTAGGCAAAGAAAGAACTAAAAAGGCATCCTTCTTCCATAGAAAAGCCCAAAAAGAATTATATTATATAAATATATATATATATATCATAATCATCCAATGAGTCACAAGAGATGGTAGTTATACTCTTTCTTGTAAGCATCCACATCAGACGTAAACAAGATCATAATAATCACCCATAAACATCAAAGGGCCCCATTCTTCATTCACAATTAGACGCCAAGGAGGTCAAATCGTCCACCTACAGCGAGCTGGTTGTGTTTGAGACTTCCAAGTAAACCTTATAGTATTCTTGCACATGCCGCCACCTGTACTTGCTTCGTATGGTATATTTGAGACAGGTCCTCAGCATAAAATTGGGATATTCTTGTGTGCCTTCATCTGCCCCCATCGTTAGTGTGGAAAGACAAAGAGACCCCTCCTCCATCAAATTGACCCTTATAGCCCTCTCATTGGGATCATGCCCCCATCAGTGGCAAACTAGTAAAGCAAAATTACTCGAAACAAAGATAATTATATCGATAATGTTGGTGAACCTTATGCCATGACCGAAGAGTCTGTACGGCTTGGTCCAATTGACGATGTCCAGGATCGTCCTAGGAATGAGGTCTTCGCCTGATCGGGTCAAGCTCGGGATCGGTTGAGATGCGCCTCTTCAACGAGCTCGTCCGTCTTTGTTGTCATCGTATTCCTACACATCACCTAGGTCGAGATGGGGAGGGAAATTCTGACTTAAGCCCCTCCAAAGATTAAGTTAGTGAAATTCTTTTTGTTAAAGATCTTCTGCTCCTTGCCAGATGTTGGCAAAAGGCTTTTATTATAGTGTTTGAGGGTTGGTCGTACACAACTTTTGCATGGCAGTCGACTTCCTGAGTGACGAGTTCATACATTCGGACGTCCGCTGCCCGGGATGTGTAGAATGGTGCCATGCGGCGCTGTCTTGACTGGTTTGTGTGGCCCCAGACGATGTGGGAGGAGTGATTGTTATCTTGAATTCTTGGTGGCATATTCGATGTGGCGTCGCATCTTCCTCCCGAGGTTTTGCGCTTGAGCTAGCGTGGTGGGAGGTCGTGTCCACGTGACGGAATTTATAATATGCCCGATCATATAATGTTGGTAAAAAAATAAAGATCGTGGTATAAAAATCATTGCTGTATTTACATGGTAATTTAAGATAACAGATATTAAAAATATAGAAATATGTCTCTCCAATGCTTGTTGCAATCAAAAACAGCAGCCCACACATGTTTGCCCAAGGGCAATATGGGTAATTTGGTCATGCCAAGAATATGCCAAACGAAAGAACAAAAGCCTCGCTGATACCTCCAGAAGTATTGAACGACCTGTGTCTGTTATATTCAGATACATAAAGCCAAAGCCTTCGAAGATCCAAACTCTTCTTTCCGTCGCAAACCGAAGGAGCGAAGCTCAAGAAAGAGGGAAACCGCATTCCGTCGATGTCCGACCACCGATTCATGTCCGAGGACGGCCATTGTTACATAAGGTTGCCGTCGGAGCCAGCGATTACGGAGCGGCAGTGGATCTTCGATGAGCTTCCCACGGCCAAGATTGTCGCAGCGTCGCGGCCGGATGCTGGTGATATCACCCCCTTGCTCCTCTCCTATACCATCGAGTTTCAGTACAAGCAGGTGTTTATTGACCTCAATTTCCGACTATTTTTTTTTTACCTTCTCTGAATGTCTTGTCCTTGGGAGTGTGAATTGCTTCTGACACAACTACGAATGGGCATTCCTCCGATGATGTTTTAGGGCACAAGATGTTTTGTTTCCTTTTTTCCTTTGTCTCTACGTGGTATATCTGCTCTATGAAACCAGGGGAAAGCTACTTTCAGTAAATGATGGTAATCCCTGTTTGCACGTTGTGTGTTGGTTAAGAACAGTACTGAGTAAGTAGCAAGAGGAATTGGAAATTGGTTGTTGCTAGTCATACCACGCTAAATAAATTTTATTTGCTTTATAGCTGGTACACTGAACATAAGCTCTTAGATGATATTTTATGGATAGCCATAAATCTATATGTATATTTGGTTTGGAGGTTAGATGGGCAATTCATTGCTCTGGCATCAAGGGAATTATCGTATATCAATATGTGATGGTTGTGGATGCATTCTTCTTAACGTCACTGCTCTTACACCAATTGATGTTGCTATTTCTGGCTTGAGAATCGTTTTTACTTTCTATGTTATCCAACTTCTTTGGTTATTTTACCCATCTTTTGTTTGGCAAAGTTACTTTGTCAAATTGTTTGAGTTTCTATACCTTCTGGTAGGATTTTGACAAAGTGAATTAATAAATGTAGAAAACACTTAATATCTCTTAGCTTTAATTTCTTTCTCTCTCTCTCTCTCTCTCTCTCTCTCTCTCTCTCTATATATATATATATATATATATATATATATATATATATCTATCTATCTATCTATTTATATCTCTCATGCACGCCTGTGCACTCACTCGCTTAGAAAAGGACTTACTCCATGACACTTTCTAAGCTTTGAACTCTTCCTTTTTTCAGGTATCAGAGCTGAAGCTTCCAATGGAGATTTACATTTTTATAGGTCCCTATGTTGGCTGTATCAGTTCTTTGCAGGCCAATGCATCTTACTTTTGTTCACTTTAGTAACATAATGAGGAACTGCATTTGAAGTCTAGAGAAAAAGAATAATGAGAGAATTATCTAATCAGCCTGAAAGCATAGTAAGAAAGAACTAGTGGGCATTAATATGGAAGTTCCTTCTGAGAAAGGTGAAATTGGCATCATTATGATTTGGAAATGGTTGTTGTAACTTGTAACATCAAAGGGAGACCCCCACAGAGTATTTACCCAGTACAAATACTTGGAAGTTAATAGAATGACTTTTAATTTCATCTCACTAAAATTATTTCATTTTGATTAAATTGAAGAGATCAAAAGTTTTTTCCATAGGAGACCAGTCATTAAGACTGGTATGGACAGCTGATTTTGATGACATTTTCCATAGATCCACATTGCACTAGCCCAAAGAGAGTGATGCAAACGCAGGTAATTTTTATAAGTTGGCTAGGCAATGGGTTAGAAGAAATCTAATTACCTTTTTCACTCCGATCTACTGCCAACCATGAGGACATTAAAAGAATTCAGTTCCTTCTTCATTGATCTATTGGGAACTTCCAGGTTTCACTAGACAAACATGAAAAATATATGTTATTTAACACTCAAGTCCTTGAAGGGCCAGCAAAGAACTTTAAAAACTTGAAATCATTCAAATGGACATTATTAAATACATTGTGCGACTAGGTTTTGAATAATTAAGGATCACTGTCTCTCTCTTTGAGGAATGTATCGTTGCAAACTGTGGCTAGAAATATTTTTCAATGCTTTTTTGATGACCAGGAATAGAGATTCTCTTGGTAGCATCCCCAAAAGCAAACCAGCCAGGAACTGGCTCTTTATGAGTATATGGTGCAGCTTGATACAAGTATGCTGTCGGATCATTTGGATTGAATGCAATGGAAGAATCTTTTAATTGGAAGTCAACAGTGTACAGACCATGATGCAGCAGTGGTATTGGATGTCCAAATCCTGGAGGATTAGGGCACCTGTTAAATTTTCTAGTGCATTTGATAGTACTGTCAAGAACCATAAGACAAGATGATATTCCCTGATGTTCATTTTGTTTTAATTTTTACTTTTTAAATGACTCCTTATTTACTTGATTGAGCTCCTCACAATCCTGTACATTTCAGAACTTTATAAATGCACTGTAGGTTTTGCCTTAATCTCTCTCTCACGCTCAAAACGGAAATCTATATTTAGAGTAATGAATGATAGTCTGAAATTAATATTACTAAAGATATGGATATATGACAAAATTGTCACAGTGAAGTTTCTGTTCTACATGATTGACCCTTGTCCTTTCTATTATTAAGGTTCATAAGAATTAATCAGTTTTGGTTCTTAAGATTTTTTGCTTTTCTTCTGATTTAGGTTTTTCTTTTGTGGACCAGGAAGAGTCTGTCAGATAACTCATCCGTTTGGACCGTGTATTTAGGGAATTGGATAGAAATTCTTAACTTGATCTAAAAAAGATCTTTTCTACAAACTGAGTTAATATGAATGTGTAATATGAAGAAATTATAATCCGGTCCTACATGATCTTAGGCTCTGGTTTTTCTTTGATGTGATTTGCTTCTTGTTGTCCATGCACTGGTAGCATATCTGCTTGCATATTATTATCTAACACTTGTGCTTAATTAATTGTCATCTATGAACTAATATATACCGTTTTATTCATCAGTTCAGATGGCACTTACTGAAGAAAGCCTCACAAGTTTTATACCTACATCTTGCTTTGAAGAAGCGTGCATTTTTAGAGGAACTTCATGATAAACAGGAGCAGGTTCATCCTATAAACATGGTTAACGCTTTCTAGCAATAGTTTGACATTTTATTTTGTTATAACCCATTTTATCTTAGAATAATTAGTGCCAACAAATAATCTTCAGTCAAAGATTTTCAATGTGATTCTTTCATGCATAGTTTCTGGTTGTGAGTGCTTCAAAAAGTTTTATTTCTCTACCCCATTAGTAGGGGATTGTTAAAGTAGTTCGCAGTTTGCAACTTTGCACAATATTTCAAGTCAGTAACTTACCATACATTTTTACAGAAGACTATCATCCTTTAACAAATCTTTCCAATATTATTTTATTTGTCCCTAGGTATCTCTGCTCAGAACAAGTTTTTCTTATTATCACAGTATCACTTATGCTTTTGACATCAACTTCCATTTTTCTAGAAAAACCTAGTAATGTGGGTCTAAGGAGAGTCGATTTATGCAGCCTTACATCTGCAAGCAGAGTAGTTTCTAGTTTCTATTACTTGAATGCTTGTCATATTGGTCAAAAGGGAGCAACATTAGTGTGCTGCCAAGATTCACTCTCATTATTACAAACTATGGAATGCCCCTGAAAAGGGTTTTCTTTGCATGTCTGCATCCTCTATTGTGCTTCCATATATATAACTCAGTATCCAGATTTAGAGGCAGTAAACTGCTGTCAACTCCTTCTAATGTGACTTATTTGCACAGTTCCAATTTCGATTTGCATGTTTCTTTTTACTATAAAATTAAGATTTTTTTTTATAAAATTAAGAATTTTACACGCAATTCTTAAGCCTTTAATCCCGCTTGGGTGTAATTATTATGCCTTTTCTTTTATTCTATCCATTGAAGGTCAAAGAATGGCTTCACAATCTTGGACTAGGGGAGAATATACCTACTGTTCAAGATGATGATGAAGCTGATGATGTGTCTGTTCCTTTACCACATGAGGATAACAGTTTAGTTAAAAGCAGGTAACTGACAACTTCTGCACTTTCACAAATGTTATATAGTCACAAACAACACATAAGCATGAGGAACCAAATTAGTTGTTTTATATTCATAACCTGCCCCTGGGATTGAATGTCTTGTTCTGGCAACCATCCAAACAGTGCATATGTCATCCAGATTTATATACTCCCATAATACAACGTACATGCTCAGGTTCCATTTGAAATATTGCTTTTCCATGCTATGACTTGGCATCTGCTGGTTGAATTAGTTAACTGGTGTAATAAGAGGAACGTGAGACATAAGAAAACTTTATTAGACAATAAGAGATTCAACTTCTCTTAGTTTGACTAGTGTAAAGAAAACTTTTGGACTGGGGATGATGCCTTTTGGAAATTTTTGGAGAACTTGGAGCTGCAATAAATATGTTTCAAAATGGTTCAAGTAGTTAAGAAAATGAAGCCCCTTAAAAGTGAATTCAAGAGCCCAAATTGTAATAAATTTTGTGATATTAGTATAAAAATGCTAGAAAAGGAAAGCAACTGGAGGAATTACAGAAACGATTTAAGCACCAGAAGTGCTAATGATGAACTTATTAAGCATGCGAGAGATTGTTTTCATGTTTATTCTGAGCATTCTCTAGCTGAGGAATGTTTGACAAACAAAATCGAAAGATTCACAGGTTACAGCTTGGTGATTGAAAACTAAATTTCTTCCACAGACATCTGAAGACTAAAAGAGCTCCCCATAATATCTTCTACATGTGATGAGGGGAAGGATATTTAGTGTACCAAATTTTGTACTATCTTCTTGGTACTGCTTTCTCTGAACGAGATTTAGTTGTTTTAGTTGAAGAGTTTAGAGTATCTTAAGATGGTAAGATTACTGCATAGGAAATGGAAGAGGCATTATTTGAAATAAAGTGTAACAGGGCTTGTAGCCCAAATGGAATCATTTGTCACTTTTCTTCCAATAGAGTTGGAATATCATTGGAAATGAAACCGTCCAATCTAAAGAATTCAATATCGGGTACCATTCCTACATAGATCTAGGCTTGGACCAGTACAAGTCTGAGTCGTACTGCTTGTACTGAGCCGTACTAGCATACCAACACTCAATGCATAGGTATATACCAAATTCCAGAAAACTGACTGATAAATCAGTCGAAAATTAAAAAACTAATTTAGGGTTATTTCATCTCTTTTATTGGCATATATAATCAAATTAGATAATAATAAAGTGAACCTAATGTAAAACAATAGAATACAAAACCAAAAGATATATGGAATAAGTATCAGAAGCCGTATTGTCACGGACTTAGCTGATTTTGCCTAAGTCGTGCGACACCCTTGCGTGTCTGTCCGCAAAGGTCAGCCTCCTCGAAACCTCCCATAGTCCCTTAGAACCTACAAAAGAAAAAACGGATTAGAGAAAGCACCTCACTCGGGATCCACAAGCAAACATTTCAGAAAACACTTCATAGCCAATGTAAATTACAAACAGACTTTACAAGCTGTGAATGGTTGCACAACAAAGGGTCAAAATGGTCCACTATAGACCGAATATCTCTCACAAGTGTCCACATGACATAATTTTTATTTACAAGCCTAAAATGACCACCAAACCCAACTAAAATGGGGCTGTTAAGCCTTCAATCGTCCCTTTACATGCTCTGCAAAGTATGAACATACCAAAAAACACGGATATACATAAGCATTACATCAAACATCATGTTTAGAAGTTTGTCCGTGACATTCTACCCCACTCATTCTTTCGACGTCCTCGTCGAAGCCTTTGCCGACACTGCAACTCCTCGCCTTTGCTGAATCTTCAATCTTCTGTTCTAGCTGCAATGCGCCTCTTGGCTCTCAGCTGCTCTCTACTACTGTTGTTGAGTGGTCGAACTTTTGAACCGCCATGTTGCTTCAACTCGTCAATGACTCTGACTCTAGTGTAGGGTTGGCTGAGTTGTGTTGATCCCTGTTGGTTCTTGTGGATCCTTTAGATGAAGGAAAAGACCATCCTTACTATGCGCCAGTCTCTCAAATGCCTTGTGCTGCTTGAACTGGGTGGATCCTTGTTGGAGCTTTAACGAGCATCACCTCGTAAACTTTTTGAAGTTTTGGGTCCTTCCTCCACAAAATTTGTCCATTGACTCTTCTTTCACTTAGTTGTTACTTCTAAGTAGATTCTCATCACTTCCGCTTTCGATTGATATTCTGTTGGGAAATGAAGCGGATAATCTACTCTCAGTAGTACTAATCACCATTGGTGAAGATTTGATAACTATTATCTTCCATTATCTTCGAAGGGTCTTTGAACCTATGTAGAGTTCCACTGCTGGATAGATAAGAGAATTGTGGTACTCGGTTTCGCCCATTCTCTTAAGAGTTGAGAAGGCAAATATTACTTGACTTTGCCCGCCTCTTCGAGGGTTGTACTCCATGCATCGAGCTGGTTACTGACCTTCGCCTGCTCTTTACTCACACTTCTGAAGCACTTGAAGTGTTTGCACTCATTTCGTTGAGTTAGCTACTGTGATTCACCTTCTCAATACCATCGAACTTATGGAATGCAGGAAATTTTCACCCCAACTTGGAGTAAGTCTTTAATAGTTTTGGTCGCCTCTAGGATTGTACCGTCTTCTCCATCAACCCTGCCGCCTACTCCACTGAGTAGCAAAGGTACAACACCGCGTACTGCCTGCTTCGTTCCTTAGTCGTGCACTCTTGCATGACCCAAAGTCATTCACTTTCGGCTATCTTGATGAGAAGCTCGTTGACACCGGTCTTACGAAGTTCCTTGACCTCTGCCCTTCAATCTTGTCATGGTACTTGGAGTTTGCCTTTGTATGCTCCACCTCCTCGGCCTCTTTCACGACCAAGCGCTCTCCCTCCATGAGAGCAAGGGATCGATGACTTCACGGAAGTCCCGCCTCTACGGTACCATGGTGCTGCCATGCCCATGACCCTACTATCTGTCACCTTGCATCTGCATCCCTTTTCTTCACAATCGGTAAATCTGCCTCTGTGGCACTCCTTCGAGTCCACCTCCATTCTAACCGATATTTTGTTTTGGGTAGCTAAGTCCCTCTGGACTCGTAGTCACTTCCTTGCCCCTTTCGACCCCTTGCTTCAACACTTCTGTGTTCTCCAAGCAGTTCCCCTTGGTCGATAGAAAGACAGACTGCAACTCTTATGCATGGCCTCTGCCATTATGTTATAGGGTTTGCACCGATTTTGTTCTCCTTCGCTTTCTTGATATCAACGTTCGCTTACTCGACCTTGTCCTCTGACTTCCCGGGCTCCCTTAAGCGAAATATAGGCTCTGGAGCTGTTCAACTCTCTAGTTGCTTTGATCATACCTCTGCATGATCGAGTCCCTCCCATGGGACTCACTGGTACTTGTATTCGAACTTTTCCCTCGGTGGTACACAGCCCCCATATGCTGATGACCAAGGCTTTCATCTGATGCAAAATTCGATGTACGCACGGAAGACCCGCCTCTACAATACCATGGCATTCACTCCTTAAATCTATAGCCCTTCTTGCCATCGTGTTGTTCACTGAAGTGGAGCTCCCAGTAGCTCCCGATCATACCTCCGTATGATATAGTCCCTCACAAGACTATATTCGTGTGTATCGCATTGCCACGAACTATTCCACCACGATCCGCTGTACCATGTCGCCTCCTGGTGACATCTCCATTGCATTCTGATCCTTGTGGGATGAACTCGGATTGGGATCCCTCCATATATGGCCTTTGCCAACACATTGCAGGGTCTCTTCCACTTTCGATTGTGTTCGCTCCTTTGGCAATCGACCTTCGTCCACCCGCTCTCGAGTCACACCTAGACGAAACACAGCTCTAGGACAGTCCATCGCCTAGTAGCTTCCAAAGTCCACCGACTTCGTTGAAATTGGTGTACCATTATCTGGATCCTGGGCCTTTGCCCTACCAGCATAATCTCCACCGCACACCGCTTCCTTCATAACAACTTGAATGGCAGTACTATGACATATTCTTTAAGAGTATCCGCCTCCATGTCCTCTTTGCCCCGTGCTAAGGCCTTTTGAACCCAACTTCACCTTCGTAAGTTGAGTCGTCTTAATTCCTCCGTCAAATGCTTCTCTGAGGTAAGGTGCAAGTGCCTCGAAGCTCCATTCGTCTTTGGCACCATGCAGGATGAGCCCGCTCCATCAGAATGAGGGACCCATGGAATGACATGATCCCGCTCTTGCCTCTGCAAGAGTTCATGTCCTTGACCTTTGTCCAGGGAAAGCTCTGTGCCTTCGCTCCATATTCCATCTTCTATGTTGGCTCCCTTCATGCGGCTTGGGTACTTCGTCAAGTTACACCCAAGTTGCTCTGCTCCTCGTTTTGCATTGAGTTGATAGTGGCCCTTGCGCTCACCATTCCACGGGTCAGCCCTCCATTGAGTCCGATCTCCATATCGACTCCAAGTGTGCCTTCGTTTGGGTTGCCTTGGATCGCTCACCCACTTGATCTCGTAATATATCCCCCCTAATGCATTATCTTAAGCGAGATCATACGACGACTCCTCGTCACTCGCTCAGTCTGTTGAGCTTTGTGAAGTTTTTTTTTTTTGAGGTACTCCTCAACATGTGCGGTCCATTGGACTTGGTTCTCCCTCTGAAGAGCTGAGACTTATCCCTCTTGAATATCTATCCCGTTGGAGCAACTTCTCTTTTCGCTTCCTTCTCTCTGAATGTTTCAGAGACCACTATCCTCTTGGACTACTCCGCCTTGCTGAACAAATAGTGCATGTTCTGCCTCTCACAAACACACTTGTTAGATTGCGACTTCACGTCAATACAGTCCCCGCTGCATCCCCTCAAGGCCTAGCAACATGCTGAACTCGCTGCAGACTTTAGCCTCCTACGAACGTATCCTTCTCATGCTGAAGAGAAAGTTTCAATGCTCCATGACGTTGAGCTTCGGCCGCCTTGGAATGGCCACGAACATTTCATCATTCGCATACAAGCCCTTGTATGAGTACCGA